TCTCTGTTTTTGCGACTGAAGGCGAAACGTGTGAGCGTTGCCGCCAGCGCGTCTGTCAGCGTTGCGCAACAAGGGCGACGCTAACAGGTCTGCAGCCTTGTTCCCCGTATACACACTCTCGACGAGCTTCAGCGCGTTTTCCGGTTGGGGCGGCTCGGGGTTCTATTCACAATGACGTAATGCTCACTGTTTTCTGGGGTGTATATTGTACAGATAAATGCGGCGGGAACCTTTTAACACGGGCGGCAGCTTGTGCCACCTAACCGAAGCTTTTCGTTTCAACAATTAACTCCGAGAGGATTGGGAATTATATTCGACAATGATAAAAAATTTTGATTCCAAGGTCACAGAAACTGGGGCCATCTAGCGGGCACTAGGCGAAACCCGTATACGCACGTGTGCTTTAAATTCCCTTTATAGAGAGAGGAGGTGTCCAAGCTCCTGTGGAGTATTGCGCTGCGGTACACCGCGCCCACGGTGGCGGGCGATGTTTTTTGAGCGTTTGGCGATTTTGACGACGGACGCCCTACGCCCTACTGGACCGACGACGGACGTAATTTCCGGTGGTGAGAACAGCCGATAACAGCTATCGCTGTAAAAAAAAAAAAAAGTATAAATGCACGCCGGATACTCTTGAAAGCCACTTCCATCCGCCGCTCCCCAGATGGTATATCGGCAAGGTCCCTTATACTACATAAACTATACTCCGGTTCTTTTAAAGTCCTACGGCAACCGGCGCAACGATTTGGTAGAGGCAATCAAACAGCGCTAAAAGTTAATCATGACGGCGCTGATCGTTTTTGTGCTCTTCCAATCACAGATTAAGCCAATCAAGGAAATTCAATGCGCGTGATCTCGCGCTTTTACGCGCATGTGTGTGTTTGTGTGTGTGTGTGTGTGACCGGTTTAGCCACCAATAGCAAACCCCACACATACAACGAGGTTGGTTCCATCCGACCGAAACGTCGGCTGCAATTGGACTTAAAATACAACGTTTTTTTGTGTTTATTTTATTAATTAAACTTACCCACCCACTTTGCAACAGAGCGTAAAAACAACCACTCACTGCCGTTTACGCACAAAAGTAGGTAGCTTCTGGAGGTGGCATGACGCCACCACGGGTGGACCCAGAAGTGTGGAGGGACACGCCCCCGACAATGATTAAAACCCCACGCTCGGGTGCCACTGGGGAGGGACACGCCCCCAACGGTGACCAAAACAGTCGTTGTTTTGGTCACCGTTTGGGGGCGTGCCTCTCCACGCTTCTGGTTTCACCTCTGGTGGCCTCATGTCGACTCCATAAGCTTCCTACCTCCATGTCTTTAAGGAAGTGGATCAGAAAATAGCGAGACACCGATAACAATTAGACCCCAGCGCAGATAGCGCATTCGAATCAGAAAGCTATAGGGGCCAAGTTGATCGCTGGTATTCTTCCGTAAACGATAATGATGGGCATCCTCGCGTCTTCCGGAAAAGAACTACCTACGAGACTTTACGCCGCGCATTTTTACGATGATAATTACGCTTTGGCCCAAACTAATCCACAGGTAAGGCAAAAAAAAAAAAAGAAGTATCCATTAAGTATGGTTTAATGCATCGCGCTAACAAATGAGCACGACGCGGTTTACGCGCTTCCCTCCAAACGAGGAATTTCGAAAATTCTGAGAATTCGGCTAAAGCTTCCACTACGCGCTGGGAAGCTTCGCATGTGCGTAGGAGCGTTCTACCGGATGGCTCTACTTTAGGGTACGCTTCGTGAACTTTTGCCTTCGGCCGCTTATTTCTGTCGCCTTGTTGTTGTTATGTTTGTCTCTGTGTGCTCGTGTGTACGTGCGTGTGTGTTTGCACATGTGCGTGTGTTTTTAAGCAATTACCAGTAGTTGTATTCTGTAAGTCAGCAGGGCGTTGGCGCTGTAAATACCTACTTAATATAAATACCGGCGTGACGCCATCTGTTTTAGAATCGCATGCATATGCACTAGTCCGTGGACGCGTGTGCGGTCTGGGATTTTCCGCGGAAGAGAGTTACTGCGAATCCTCAGAGAGCGTTTCAAAACCCAGTAAACAAAGATTGCAGCGTAAAAAAGGCAAGTATTTGGACGGTCTACACAAGGCAAGAAAGCGAATCACCCTAAACTAAAAACGTGTTTATTTCATGCCGAGTAGAATGCACGTTGCGCCAAGTGCAGCAATCAGCGGATAACTCCTGGCAATTTTACGGCGCGCTTAGAGTTTGGGAATCTGCGAAGTAGCTCCGATCGCACCTTAGAAACGCAGCACAATCCGCATCTCGCAATTTGCTAGTCTGCCTGCGAATACCTTCGATTTACATCCCGCGCGCTCTAAGCGTAATTAGAGAGAAGGGTATCGTCGACTTTAAGTCTGCTCTCCTAGCTCTTTCTTCAATCCATAAACAAAAGTTCAAACATTCAACTTATCCACGCAATCCTGGAGTTTCACCAAAATGATTTGGCTAAGGGGAACATTGTAGTGCTGCAGTGGGTGCCAGGACATTGTGGGACTATTGGAAATATTTGTGCAGGCAACGCAGGCAGAGAAGCTCACACTCCCGGCTTTCCCTTTCCTTCTCTGGACCTCACAAAAAAAAGAAGAAGAAGCTCACAAAGAGACTGATACTTTCCTCATTCCATTTTCAAGAACTGATTCAAATACCGTCAGTCGAATAATTGGCAGCGAAATAACAACGTCGTTATGGACAGATCCACATCATTACTACAAATACCTAAAACACATTGACCCCAAATTAGGATTTTGCATCCCACGAGGCGTCTTAAGAGCTTAAGAGACAATACTTTATCGACTGTGTCTAAGCACCGCATATATGAAGAAATACATAGATCTAATTGGTGACGAAGAATCACCCATGTGCTCTTAATGTTCTTCACCCGAAGATAGTGACCATCTTTTGTGTATATGCAAAAAATACGATTTTGAAAGAAAGACGTTAAAAATACAGCTAGGATTAGGGCCAAATGAAAAAAAAAAACTTGGACTGCACCACCTTCTTCGGCCTTGGTCAACGTTTGGAGACGCACATAAGGCTACGAAAGCACTAATTAATTTTCTCTCTCATACTCGATTATTCAAGCTGTTATAGAAGTTTGATGTATAAATGTAAATGTATATTATTTTATATAGTTTTTAGCTCTTTCTTTTTCTTGTTCTCTCCTTTCTTGTTCCCAGCCTTACCCCTATCTCTTTTGCGAAGTGGCAAATCGACTTTTAAGCAGGTTGACCACTTCGTGACCGTAAATAAACAACTATTTTCTCTTTCTAGACTGAAGGGCATTTTTTCCTGTGAGGCAGTCAATACAGTTCCAATTTTCTTCCCCTTCAGGCCTAACATAGTTTTAATTTATTATGTTTATCTATTTCTATGTTGCATTTTTTATACATTGGTTTCTGTAGCGAGTTTATATTTTAATGGTTTTCAAGCAAACGTTCATATCCTATGTGCGTTCAGTAGTGGTGTTATGCTCTAATTAAGTAACTGTTATAAGTACAGGAGCATGAATTATCTATCTTGATCACACATGCGCGCAATTCGGGTAACTGTTTCTTAAATTCTTGTTACGTGGTTATTAATATAATCATGATCATTATTATCATGTGGCGCTGTGGTTCGTTGGCCGCATAATGTTTTGTAGCGTCGTTCTCAATCAAAAGGAAATTCACGGCTGCGCCTCAGCAATAGAAATGGTCGGTGGCCAAATATTCGTACGCACACGCAACTATACCCACGCATACTGTTGACCACAGTCTTCTTTTCTTTTTCTTATTTGTTTTTTCACACGAATGCGTTGATCGGCATCGTTCCACGTTAGCAACCAACCGGCTATCCTCCATTCACCTTTCGCGCTCTCTCGCTCTTTCTTTTCCTTTTTCTTTCCCCTTCTCTCTCTTCCTCTCCTTCCCCCTTTCTTAATGCGAGTTTTTCTCCTTCCTGTAAAAGATGTAGGACGGAACCAATGTTTCCTTTTTTTTTTTTGCATGACCATTTTTTTTAGTCACGAATTAATACACTTTGTTCACGTGTTTAGTGAGGCCGTTCCTCAAAAACCTATTGGTAGTCCGATAGTGCTTATAGCATATGAAGTGTCTTTTGAAATAAAAAAAAAATTATTCATTATTCAAGAATCCTGCCTAAGCATCAACGGTTCTCGCTAGTTCTATCGAGTGCTCTACTGTGTGAACAGAAAACAAATAAAAGCGAATCTCGTTTTTGAACCGGTTCCTTGAAATAAAATTTAAACCGTTTTCAAAATATGTATCACTATCAACAATAAAACAATGCAGATTAGCCACCCTGTAAAATTAGTCACACTTTCTTTTTAAAATAGCGTTTTCTTTCATTTTTTTAAGAGAGCGTAGAAATTAGTTTTAAGTTAAAGACCAGTATAAGTCGTTCGCTGTTTTTTTTTCTTTTTGCGAGGTTATAACTGCGATGGTTGAAGACATCACACTACTTTACTTTTGTTTTTACTCCTGTGCCATTCCCCTAGATATCCTGAAGAGACAATAGAACTACGTATCAAAACAAAGGAAGCTGGGGATGCAAACGCATTGATCCTATGTGTGCATGCGGTGGAACGCAGCATGTGCACATAAAGATAAAATGTGCCTATGTTTTAAAGAATTTATAAAAAAAATACATCAAACTGCTAGAGAAACATATCAAAACCTTCGTCAGCACCCTTTTTTATGTATCTATTATATGAGTAGAACGCGTGACTTGAACCAACTAGTTTACATTTGCAGGTTTTTGGCGATTGGAAGAAACACGCATAACAACGCACGTCTCGAGCAAAAACAGGTCCACTACATTTGCCAACGGCCCTTCCAAAAACAAACTGATGAGCACACAAATTAACTGACCCAATCCGGATATGGGAGCTTTTTGAGTCTGGGCAACCGGGGTAAAACACTCTTGATGAGATGATAGGAAGACGTCCCGAAAACGGGCGGGATAGAGAGCTCACCCATCTTTGCCGCTCTGAAGCTGTTTCCCTTGGGGATGTGCTGGATGTCGAAGTTGAGCGTGATGTTGGGCAGCAGGGTCTTGTCCTTGTTGATCCGGATCACGGCGTACTTGAAAGCGAGCTCCATTGCTGAAGACCTCTGGTCGTCAGTGAATAGGGCTCCTGCGACACACAAGACGCAATGCAATTAGGGCTGATTGGGATTTTCAGGGCTGCATGGAATAACTAAGAGTAGAGACATTAAGCGGTGCGTCTGTATATGTGACCTACAGACAGTCGAAATCTTCACAGAGTTGAAACCCTCAACTGCATCCCCCATCTGTGGTTTAGGGCATAAAAAACTGGATTCCGCATTGATTAAACATTTGATGGCGCAATAATTTCTGCTCGCCTACTCTGCAACGCAGCGCATAATATAAGGAGCGAACTTTATGCACTCAAGCAATGTTTTGCCAACTATATAGTCACAAATGGTTGTTGAAAATTCTTAATCCGAGAGGACATAAACTTTTGACACCAAAATGCCACCTGCGGAGATTTACTTTTCGCAGCGAAGTGCTATCTTGACCTTGTGTTTGGTTATGTTCGTTTTTATAAAACGCGATGAGCCTCTGTAGGCGTGTTCTGTAGGCGTGTTCTGTAGGGAACTTGACGCGCAGGCCTCATTCGTATGCAGTGTATTCCTTACTCGAGTAAAGACCGTTTATATAAAAACAAACTTATACACTCTTTTCAAGAAATGCATTCAAAACACATTTCGTCTCGCCTTGTAAATCCATACATATATATATATATATATATATATATATTTTTTTTTTTTTTATGTACGCACCGTAATGCAATATAAGCAAACTCTGGCTCCGACAGAGCGAATATTAGCGCTGAAAACAGCAACACCAAACACGAGCAAATGTCTGCGAGTTCGCTTTCCTGCAGAACACAAACGCAACCAATCACGGTAGCAATAAAAAAAAAAAAAGGAATCTCGACGAATGATAAAATTTATTCGACTCGACGAAAAAAGATTGCGAAGGGCCAAGTAAGTAGGTAGTTTTACTTTTTCATTGTTACTGCTCCATCTCGTTTTTCCAATTTAATATTTTGACATGCAATTATGTCAATGCGTAAATATATATAAAATTCAACATGTTAGCTAAGTTGTAGAATCAACAAATTCTAAATGATACCAGTCATAATATTTTGTACTTCAAGTATGTCAATAATTAATATTTGAGGAGAACGTAAGCGTACCGCAATTTGAATGGCACATGCTCGTCGGCTATAACACTCCGTGCAACGCGACCGGCGCGCCGCCGCGCGGCCGTTACCGAAGGTAGGCAGTGAGAGCCCCAGCAAAACGAAACCACGCCGCCTACATTGGTACGCACTGAAGTCGGAGCGGTGCGGTTGCGCTGGATTGACAGCATGAACTGCTGTGTCGTTAATTTATGCGTCGTATATCGTGGGGACGAAGTTTCACAGTTTGTCACCTCGGCGATGTTTTGTGGGACAGCGACAACGATGGACCCGTGCCGTACGACCAGAGAATTTGGTCTCCCAATTATGTCTGCCGCTGTGTCGGCACGGCTGACATATTCTAAACAGCCGCTGTGCGCTCTGCATTTGTTTTCGTACCAGTAACGCCTACATATCTCAGCTCTAACTGAAATGCCATCCTACACTCGCGGGTATGCAGTGCGAATTTCCTTAAAGGAATGCCCCCCAAAGAAGTTTCGTCCCCATCGTGCGTGTCGATGATATTTCCGGACCACTATGGCACGCAGTCTGTACTTCATGAAGAAAGATTCGGAGGGTACAAAAAGTGAGAAATATGAATCTAAGGAAAACTACAATGAAACTTGGAATCACTGGACAATCGATGTTTGAGTATGGAAGTTTATGTGGTGTGCTTTGTTTTTCCATCGGCCTCCTTTTGGATGTGGAAACGCTGACACCCCGAGTCTTGTAGACAACATTCCTTTTTTCTCGACTTAGAGCCACCTATAGAAAAGTTGTTCGAACTGGAAGTACCGTCCCCACTGGTCTCTTCCTACCTGTGAAGTGTGCACATCCCACGGTGAGTGGTATTGTCTTGACAACCTTTGACGGTCAAAACCGGTTCCCATTTAGTTACGCCGCCCAAAAATATTTCTACCTGGCTAAACTATGCCACCTCTTTTAGGCATAATAAGTGTTTTGTCAAGTTACGGTTGTCAAAGTACCTGTGTGCCGAAAATCAGCACCTCGCACAACCAGATTACTACACAACAGCTGACCTCAAAAGCCTTTGACGGCCAAACCGTGTGTTGGCCGGCAACTTGGTTTTCTCGGCATTGAAGCCACCTTTCGTAAAGTTGTTTCAATTGGAAGTACAGTGCACTAGTCCCTTCCTACTTTTAAAGTCTCCATCTGTTACGCCGCCTAAACCACATTTCCACCAGATTTTTCTATGCCACCTATTTTTGGTATTATAACTGTTGTGTCAAGTTACCCAAGAACCTGTCTGTCCAAATCTGCACTTTGCACAGCCCAGTTATAACACAACATTGTGGGTCCAATATTGGATATTCCTTTATTCGTTCGAACCATAAATTTCACACCTGCTGTCTTAATAAAACTTGGCCCACTTAGTGCTCAAACTTAGGTAACATCTCACTCGCCTCCAGATATCATCGTCCCAGCAGTCCTACGTTTACAGCGACGAGCGAAACAAATTTCCCACTGAGAACAATTATGGTGGTGGCCGTCTTGCTTTCTCGAAAATTGCTCAAACCCTTTTTTCGACCGCAACTAAAGAAATTAGCCGTAATAACGACTCAAACTCAATATATAAGAAGCGGAGAACAGCTAAATGTCCTTCTTAAATCTGCCCCAGCACTCATGCAACGTCACACTCAACTTATCGGCTCAAAAAGCAAAAGTTCCGTCCGTGCGCGCTTCCGCCGCCACAGCTTCGACGCGAAAAGGCGCCGCAGGCTGCTGAGCGCGCCTCACTGTCGAACGCGAGCTCCTCCGCTAGCGGCGCTACTCGCGTCTTTCAACGCGCCCCCTATAGTTCCCGCACGGAGCGTATACATCAGAGCACTTGGCACTTACATACATAATTTTACCTAAATATGTTTCTGAAAGCAAAAGCAATTGTTTTGTATCGCTTCACGTTAACATTTAACATGATAACATTGAACATGTCAGAGCTGGAGATTCTGAATGTGCGTTGTTTAAATAATACTTCACTTTCTATTGTAACCAATAAGTTGCGTTCAAGAGTACAACTTATATACTGCTACGCGTGGCTATAGAAAAGGTGGAGGACATTGATTGCATAGAGTATGAATCGTAAAAAATGAGCGGCAATTAGGCAATCTACGTAATTGACTAACTTTGGTAACTCTCAAAATATTGGGCAATCGAGAAACTTAGTCCCTTTAAAGGTGTGACTACACTAGACAACAAAATAAAAGTTACATAAAATATATGGAATTTTCATCATAAAGAACGAATAGAAGAAAGCAACCTATCCAAAAGAACTAACCCCCATTTCCTGCCGTCAGTATTTCTTCACATCATCCCGAACAGTGAAGTCGAAAACAATTTTGTTAAAGTATATACCTAAAATTGTTAAAAAATGTATGATAACAAATTGGAGTACGGTGAAATAAAAAGTGAGACGACTTTGACAAATATTAAATTGATAGATATTATCGCGATCAAAACCTTCTCGGAAAGAGCCTCAAGTTTCTAGCTATTGAAGCAGCGGGGTCCCTCTAATGTTTTCTTCGAGAAGCGTTCCGCGAAGACTCGATCAAACTCTAAGACTTTTCTTTTTCTTTTTCTTTTTTTGCTCCCAAATGTTTTTGAAAGAACAATTTCCTCGACAAACGCAATCCAGCGAGTTTCTCGGAATTATCGCAGATACTGAAAAACGAAAATAAAAGAAAGGTCTCAAAACGCTGCGGTTCTAAAGGAGATGAAGAAAAATTTGTCACATCACTAGGTTCATATGAAGCCGTTCTCTTTAAATCCGTTCGAGCACAAAACTAAAAGCGACCGAACAAAAAAGGGAAAAGAGCAGCCACCGAGCACTGCGAATCGCCCATGTATACATATGTCAACTACAAAAAAAAAAAAAAAAAAAAAAAACGGTTCCCCGATAAGGAAACGCAACATAAGTGCTGAAAAACTAACAGCACAAGCAATGTGCATCTCATAATAAAAATTCCCACATTGTTTCCTAACTAAATCAGAACAAGACAACGAAAATTTATTCTACTAAAGAACTGCATCGAAGAAACACTAACCACCAGCTCCTGACATAAAGGTATGTCAATTAAAAAAAAAAAAAATATTCGATGTTAAAACTCACAAAAATTATCTAAAAAAAAGCGTAAATGATAATTTAATAAATTCAAAGCGAGGCATCATTCGCTTGTTCCGCTGTCGTACTTAAAGCTTAGCAGAGCGAGTCCGGACATATCTCTTAAAAAAAAAAAATAAAGAGCAGTTCGAGAAACGAGAAGAGTACGAAGGGGAAGCGAGGGCGACTGGTGAAACTAGAAACAGGACGGCGAGGATGTTGTCTTTGTCCCCACGATTGCGCCCAGCAACGCGCCGACATTTTTTGGCGTGGCTGACGTTTCCCATTTGGAATCGCCAGTCGAGCGCGAAAAACGTTTACAAGCCAGCCTCGAATGTTTCGCTTCCCTCCTTTCTGTTTGCTCTTGATTTTGTTGTATTATTCCTTCCGTGCAGTTCGCTTGCCTTTTTTTATCTGTTTTACTTTACCCCGAGCGAAACGTGCCTGTATTTCTTGCGAGAATCTTCATGTCGTCGAGATATCGCCTCTCCTATACTGCGGCTTCTGCCGCGATCTTCTGTGGCTTAAGAAACATTGTGTACAGCCATTATTCTGCTTCACTTCTTCATTTATTATCGTTTTATTTTCTCACTCCGTCGTAACTTTTAATTGTTGTATGTTTGGTTTGCTTGTTTCTTTCTTACAGCAAAAGGGGGATTGTTGAAGAAGCGGGTTCTTAAGAAGCCTTACGAA